GCATAAAGTTGTGCGTCATTTATAGATCAGTGTCAACTGTTGTGAAGGTTGATATCACCACAAGAAGAATTGAGGACAGTGTGTTATTTTGTTTGTTTGTTTCTGTATCATACACAAACAAATTACAATCGGGTATTTTACTGTAGTTCTGAGCCGAGCCATGCAGCAGAGTGAGAGACGTCATGATTCTAAAATATAAATCACATCGCGGCAGAAACGTTGACTCATTTCTTCACATCAAGTATTTAATAAATATTTTTCTAAGTTCTACCAAACTCATCAGCTCCTCTGTGTTTACAGTCATTTATTAAAGACGTGGAAATGTCTCTCAGCCTCATGTGCCACTGAAAACAGCAGCTTCACACACACACCCACACACCTTTGCGAGTGGAAAACACATTTTTACACCCCACTACTTCTTTAGACATTTTTCTCACTCATTCTCCAATTAATGTATAATTTTCCAGCATGTAAAAATCATTTCTGATCCCACAGAGAGGACAATCTGAGGAGAACCTCACAAGCTGGACACATTTACATCTATTTAACACATGTAAATGGAGGCGTGCCAGGGGAGGTTTCTCAGGTGCGCTCAGTTCCACGTTCGTTGGGATGTATAAAGGAAAGTTGCACAGGAACATGCGTACGCACAGTTTTGTACATTCAAAAAAAATTGTGCGGCACACTTTTCTAAATTTGTCCATTTGCCAACTTTTAGTGTGAAAGTTGCACACTCCTTTATGCATGAGGGCCCAGGGCCCTCAGAATTAAAAGTCCTGGGGTCAGATTTATAAAAGGTTGCGCAGAAACTATTCTAAAACTGAACATATGGGGAAAAAGGCGAAAATGGTGTACGCCAAAAAAATTCAGATTTATGAAAACGTGCGTACGCACGTTTCTGCACACCTTCACTTTATAGATCACAGCCGCACAAGGTCCCGCCTCAAGTTCTGCCCTCTACACACCCACACTCAGCCATAAACAGTCAATGCGAAGTACCTCATGAATGTTAAGATGTATTTAAATCAGTCAGATGATCAATGTCAAAAAAAGTGATTGGTTCAGACACGCTCCTTCGTGCGTCTGGATGATGACAGGTGCTGACAGCTGCTCACGTGAACAGAATGTCTGTAATTGGCACAGATTTCCCCTCATTTTGCAGGTTTACAGACGTTTAGAGTAATCTAATTATTTTTATAAAAAAACTCAGCTTCAAATTAATTGTCTCTCAGAGCCTGCAGGACGATATAAACAATAAAATAAAATTAAATAAGTCAGGTAAAATTAGAAATAAGTTCACCACTCTTCTCCCTGTCCTCTTCCCCTCCTGCCTGCTCTGTTATCTGTAGCAGCCAAATACGGACTTTAAAAAGTGATGTTTTATAACATCCACACTGGCGAGGGTGGGCACGCCCTGCGTGTGTACACAAAGCGTGACTTTTGTTGTTGTGCTGTTGAAATGTCTCTTGTCAGGGAGGGGTCTGTGGGTCAGGGTCGTCTGAGGAGGAAGGAGATG